CCTTTATCCCCTTCTTCTTCAGCCTTTAGCCTAACCACGTTACAACCCTTAAAAGACCTTTTTGAGGTATACACACACTTGTGCGAGGTTTGGCTAGAGCTACGTTCGGCCTGATTCCTAATGGATACGTAGGCAACCTCACATCGAGGTGCGGCCGTAATAAACATGCATTCATATTCACATTCACACACTTACACCATAATCATATCAAGGAATTCCCTATGCTCATCCCTTTTCATTTAAAGCTAGACTTGGGGGCTTGATCCCTACATTATTAGCTTACCTAGCCTAAGAGTCACCACCATTTGACTCTTTTCAATATATTTTTCCACACACTTAGCTCTTGCGGCCTAGCTTTAGTGTCACTTTCACACACCGCACAGATACATGACCAAATATACTTCCCTTAGGAACCCTTTGTCATGAAATCTTAATACAACGCTGAAGCATGCCTTGTCATATCAACATCACTCATCAATCATAATTCATCATTGCATCACGAAGTATGAAGTGCTTAGCCTCCGTGCCTAAGTTACCCAAATACTTTCACCATGGAGTCAACAGTTGAGATAGCCTAGGATGGATTAATCCTTGCACCTTGAGAGATAGTATCAAATGACATTTGACTAAGCTCCTCATTCAACATGCATCTTCAAAACTTCAAACTTTTGATTTTCTTTTTCACGTCTTTCTTTTTTTGGGAGAAAGTCGGTACCCTCCACAATTGACGGAAATTTTTTGCTTTTTTGCATTTTCAAGTCGCATGATCACATTACAATGCACACACGAGTCATGAGTCACACGTGTCTTTTCACTTTGAGTTGAGTCAACCTCGAGTCAGTCAATCACAGCGAGTCAAGTTTATACCTTGAGTCGTGTCAAGTCGATGAGTCAAGCAACGTTAAGCCTTAGGTCAACCCTAAGATGATTAAAGAGATTGGCAAAGTTCTATAGTCAAAATAAAGACAGGTGCAGCAGAATAGGGAGGACCCTACTTCAATTCTTGGCGCCAGAGATATATCAACAACAACAGAGCTCGAAGCCTCTCAGAAAGATGATTTCGACCTCATGCAGAAATTTTGGGTTCCTTGGTACGCCAGTTAGCCCCTATAAGCAATTTGACATGATTAAGTAGTCAGTTTGATTACAATTGCAATAAGTGATCGACCTGATGAAAGATCGTCTCACTTAGCTTAAAGCGCCTAGGCATTGGCTCAAAAGCAGAAAAGGCACCGACGTATAGGTTCAAAGCAACGAAAGCGCCGCGTACAGGCATAGCGAAAACAAAGTTCGAGCGAGCTTTAAAGATCGACAAGTGTTGGTCTTCGGGAATATTCTTTGGAATATTATCGCAACAACTGAGGATGACTTCAAGGAAAGTTATTTTCGACAGCATTCGCTAAGATTGTGGAAGTTGTCACCAAAGATTTGAGAAGATAGCACGAGATGGGCGGTCTTCGACAGCATTCACTAAGATTGTGGAGGTTGTCACCAAAGATTTGAGAAGATAACACGATATGGGCGGTCTTCGACAGCATTCGCTAAGATTGTGGAGGTTGTCACTCGAGATTTGAGAAGATAGTACGAGATGGGCGGTCTTCGACAGCATTCGCTAAGATTGTGGAGGTTGTCACCCGAGATTTGAGAAGATAGCACGAGATGGGCGGTCTTCGACAGCATTCGCTAAGATTGTGGAGGTTGTCACCAAAGATTTGAGAAGATAGCACGAGATGGGCGGTCTTCGACGGCATTCGCTAAGATTGTGGAGGTTGTCACCCGAGATTTGAGAAGATAGCACGAGATGGGCAGTCTTCGACGACTTTTGCTATGATTGGAAAGGTTGTCACTATGATTCAAGAAAAGGCTCAAGATGTAGCAAAATTGATCGACGGCGTTCCCTAGATTGCGGAAGATCGTCAAAACAGACAGCAAGATGGCGTTCCCTATATTGTGGAGGGTTGTCACAAAAAAAAAAAAAAAAAAAAACTAAGGATTGTTTCAAGGGAAGCAATTTTCGATGGTATTCCCTTGGATGTGGAATATTATCACAGCGGAGAAGGTAGTTTCAGGTGAAGCAATCTTCTAATTTGGAAGCAGTTACAAGGCGTAGCGTTTTTCAGGCAGGATGACATTCTCTAGCTTGTAGGAGGTCGTCAAAACAACAACAGCAGCAATTGGTTACTTTCAGAGACGTGTGCTCGACGGTGCAAGATACGCGTTTCTTAACTCTTTTATCTGTTTAACTAACGCTAGTTTTGTAGGTATCGGCGTTATAAGATTGATTTAGGATCGCAGAACGTTCTGAATCATTCTCCATCCCTATCGATACTTTGGCTTTCGTTTTCGAAACTTGCGTTTCTCCAAACTCAGTCAAAGTGGGGGCTTCTGTAGACACCCATTTGTGTCTCCCCAAAACCAAACCCAGTGATGTGTACCTTTCACGTTGATTCATAATCGAATGAAACGAAAGTGTGGAAAGGTCTAGTGTTGCGGAAAGTTTTAATTCTTTTCTCTTCTTCCTGTTTTTGAATACTTTATTTTAAGAAAACAGCCAATCCAGTTTGGTTGGTCCATGATATGGGTCCGATAGTGGTGTAGTTGGATGGGGCTTGCAAAGACCTTTCCAACGATATATTATAAGCCCAATTCCGATGAATATTGAGGAAGTTATGGCCAATTTACTAAACTGGGCCCGGTTTGAGCTTTAAGTACGGCCCAATGATCTAGGGGAGGGCCTAATATGATTTATCATTCTAGGAATGGTTTTAGTCTTCTAGAACATTCTATAAGGTTCTTATCATTCTTAATTCAATTAGGATTCTTCAGAGTTTTAATCAAGATCAAATAGCATTTTCGACTGAAATTATATTATTTTATCTTCCAGTACGGGAATTTTATCAGAATTTCGAAAACGCGTTGAAAGCCAATTTGGCGTCCAACCCCAGGACTTGGCGCCTGGAATCAGGATTGGCGCCAGACGCCAGCCATTGGCGTCTGGCGCTAGCCACTGGTCCTGGCGCCAATGAGCCAGGGCTGGCGCCAAGGTGGTTTTGCAATCTTCAGACTCTGTTTTGATAAATTATCTTTTTTGGATGATTTTCTCTATAAATATCGTATCAAAAACTCCGTTTTCAGGGATCATCTACATCTATTATCCACCAATTCTCTTTATTCTTAAGTCTTCATCAACTATCTTCATCATTCACCAATTATCAATTACCAATAACCAACTCTCATCAAGATTTTCTTGATTATTCTCTTTCTTTTTCTAAACTTTGGTTTTAATACAAAATTCCGCATTCACAAGATCTAGAAACACCTATCCATATTCGAAGTTGCTTTCGCCCTAGACGTGAAAGGTTTTAATTTCTGAGGGTTTGGTCCCAAATCTCTCTTTCAATTATTTAATTTAATTGTTTTGATTATTATTTTCCTTGAAGTTACTAACGCGTGTATTTTGTTATTAGAAAGAGGTACGAGACATTCAAGTAAGTACTTTAATTGATTAATTGATATTATGATGTAGAAATCATGTTTAGATTGTTATTATGATATTCCTAGTATCATATCTAGGGTATTTTTAATATCAAATATGATTGCTATGATGCCTTCTATATTCTTCCTAATATTAATTCATGTTAGTATCATGTTAGGGTTAAAGATTTGATTTTTATTTCTTAGTGACATGCTAGGGTTTGTTATTAATCTTGTTAGTATCATGCCTAGGATCTTGCTATGCTTTAACATGATTATGATTATGATTGATATTATTATTATTAATGATGTTGATTATTTATTTATGTTGCTTGATATGCATATTGTTTTATATTCTTATTGCTTGATCACCTTTATTGAATGTTAAAGGGAATTTGTATTTGTAATCGCGCTTAATAAGATATTAATAATCTTGTTAGGTTAATGTGATTATAATTCAAGTGATCACCAATAATAGTTTATTTGTGCATTAATATTCAACCAACATAGATTAAACAGGTTTAGGGTTAAATCTATTGATTGCATGTTAATCAGAAAGCGCGCACGAATACGAGCAGAATAAAGTAGAGGCCTATTATTAGGGCAGGTTCAATCACTTTTAGGTTGGATTTGTACCATCATCCCCGAACCCTTATTTGGTTCATGACCATATGGAGTTGACGATCTCTTGGATCGTTAAGGGGTGTAAACTTCACCTCGTGAACGGTTTACAAGTTCCTTAAAAACTTGTTGGCGACTCTTTTGCTCTATCTTCTTCCCTTTTGGACACCACTGTACTTTAGTGTATGATCACAGTGGGGTTCAAGCTAGTGGGATTTTAAAGGCTTGAAACTATTCCCTACAGTTAACTTATTAATAATTAGTAAATATAGTACGGAGTAGTATAAGAACTTGAATAAAAAGGTTAATAATTAATTATGGTCGAGTTAAATTCGGATCGGGTAAAAATTAAATCGAGTTAAAATTGGGTCGGATTAATATCAGTTCGGGTCAAAACAAATCAGATTAATTAGGTCGGTTATTTGTTGGGTCAATTTCGGATCGGATTGAGCTCGGTTCGGATCAAATCGGTTCAATTTGAGTTCAAGTCGGGTCAAATCGGATTTGGGTTGAGTTTAGGTTGAATCAAATCGGTGTCGGATTAAGTTCAGATCGGGTCAAGTTCGAATTCGGGTTGAATTCAGTTTGATTACAGATTGGATTTGGGTCTTGAATTTCTCGGATCATATTGGATCGATTACAATTAAAATAGATAGTTTTTTTTCAGGTCGGTCGTACCACTAATAAAACAAATAATACAACAATCTAATCTGTAGATAACTAGTACAAAATCTGCTTATTATGAGTGGTCTACCCAAAAAGATATACTATGAAGTTGACATTGAAATATTTTTTATGCAAGTTACTTAATCTCTTTTTACGGAGTACTACTTTCATTTTCAAATTATGAGTGTTGAAGCAAATAATGAGTCATGACTCATGAGACAAAATTGTTTAAGAAATCTTTGAAGATTATTTATATAACAATACAATAATGATCATGTCACAATTTACAAAATTACATTATTTTTCATATCATGGCAATAAGTTGGCATTACTTGGCAACACACTACTCCACCATCCTTCCATTAAAAAATTAAATCTATTACTGATATTTTGCAAATTTCATATCCCATTTTACTTTCCTTAGAAGTATCAAAAATTTTGCTGTAAAAAGTCAATGCCCAAGGTTGAATTTATTTAAATGTGCAAGTCAACAATCCTAAATTTATTTAATTTCAGTAAAAATAAAAAAAAAATCATAATTAGTGATGAGTAATTTTCTTGATTTAGTATGATCAACACTCTTGGCGCACATTCGAAGCCACGGCTCGAGCCCAAAATTTGATTTGAGCCTTCATATCATCACTTGACGGGGCTTTTGGATCGCCTCGTTTAGGAATTGGAGGCGCTGATAAAGGAGACGAGGTTGTTGTTCTTTGCCATGACTCCGAAAGATAAGGCCTTCGTACCTTACCAATATCTACATGATTACTATCAAGGCTAGCTCGTCTTTGTAAGGCCGGAAGTATTTTTGTTACACTTGGGCTTAACTTTTCGTTATCAAAAGAAAAACCTAAGTCCTTAAAACCTTGTAATTCCTCAACTTCTAAGTCGCTTAGACTCTTTTGAGACTTGCTCTTGTTGATTTTTTCGATTTTTGTGTCGTGTTTTGCTTGGCTGTTGATGCTAGGAGACTCCAGTTTCCGGTGTGGTCGATTCTTGGAGTTGCTCATACTCTGCTTCGTGCCCTGTAACAACATAAACAAATTGACAAATTGTCAAGTTCCAATGTTGTGTAGAAACAATGTATAATAACAATTGTCAAAAAAAACTGTACATAATAGTAATTGTTGGGAAAAGTACACTTTCATGTGACAAAAGCACTCACTCTTATCATGATTAATGTCCCTTATTGACTAAACAACAGTCTAAAAGAACAATAGTTAATGTGGAATGTACTTGAAAACTTATTTGTTACATTAATCTAGATCATAACAAATCATTTACGTGTCAAATGTTAGCTTGATGGACCGGGAAACAAACATAAACATGCATCAAAACAAACTCCAAATTTCATAACTACAAACAAATTTAGTTCATGAAAGCGTAGCAAACTCTGAAATAATTGAGACTAGCCGAGTAGAGCAGTAGACTCGATCAAACTTGACTTAACCTGCTAGACATGACACATGTACCATACAGTCCGGACCTGGTAATACTCTATCGAACACGAGTAAATAAATCATTAGTTCATTAAAAATTAGTAAATTCAACCTATAAATTAGAGTGACCGACACGGCGACACTAATGGAACTTGACCATTCTTGCTTACAAGAAAGGGAATATGTGAAGAAATTCAGAGACACTGCATTAATTAGTTTTTAAGTCCAATAGTTGGAGCTCATTAAAATAAAAAAGTAGAAGCATTAGACTTCATATGCACATGTAACAATATGAACATTTTAATCAAGACTAAAACATAGTAAAATTTGCATACCTTAGAAGTAGTGGACTTAGGAGGCAACAACATAGAAGAATCAATGGATGCTCTTCTAGTAAGTTTAGTCATTGCAGCAATAGGACCTTTCTCTTGCAACATAACAGAAGGGTCTAACGACTCCCTCCGACTCAACCTTCCAACTCCCGCACCATTCGGGATTCCGGTCGTTGCCACCGTCGAAACAGCCTCTTTCCCCCTACAAGGGGGAAGAGACGGTGTTCGATCCAATCTTCTCCTAGGCATTTGTTTAGGCAATGGCATTGCTTGCATTATTAAATCACCCATCCTCGGCCCCTCCTCATCCTCGTCCTCCTCCTCATCATCATTGTCACCTAGTTGATATTTCCTATCTCCTCCGAACCCAACTGGAAGCGATGGTGTTCGGAGGAGACTACTAATCATTGCAGGGTGATCCTGATCAGATATCAACCCTTCTTCCTTGGTACTACTCGATGAAGAAGTACAAGGATCAGAGTTACACCTTACCATAGTTTTGGACGATTTTGACCTACTTAACAAGCTATTTCCAAAAAACCAACTATCTTCAAAGAGATTACCAACAACATGGCCATTTTTCTCCTCCATTGCCAAAACTATACTTGAATTTCTAGCTAGTTAGTTTAACCAATCTTAATCTATCTAAGACTTTTGTGCAACAAAAAACAAAAAACTTTGACAAGTTATACGCGTAACATGTACCCCACATGGGAGATACAAGGTTTTTTTTTTTTTTTTTTTTTTTATATATATATATATGATGGATCTAAGTTTAATTTATAAAGTTTGTTACATGAATAGTTGTGAATTGGCTGACTTGGGTTGGCCATGTGACTTTAGGCAATCATCTTATATATAATACGGTCACAATTTTTGTATTATACCTTATTTTATACACCCTCTAACCCCCCTTGTGACAGTTGCATCATTTGGAAGAAATGTAACTATGTTCTATACTTCTATGCAAGTATAGTTGTATAAATCCTATTATTATAGTAATTTTGGGTTGGTACAATTTGTAAAAGGATAAAATTTACTCCTTATATCTCAATGGATATCCTTTACTAAAGTCTTTATTGTTACATGATTGAGTTCATGAGAGACTTGTATAAATCTCTTTATAACAAAGCAAAGCAAGTTAATTGATAAAAATACTTAATAAATCACGTTATAATTGAATTTAAATTATCTGGATTTTGAGTTTATTAGACTCCAATTAATCTAAATAGGCAAATACGACCAATCAGGTCTTTAAGAGTTTGAACTTTAAACCTATTATTAATTTCTCCCATCAATCGATGACCTCATGCAGACACATGAAGCTACAATGACAATATGAAGTATTTATTTTAGAATTGTATATTTCAAAATTTTGAGATATTTTCATAGTTTGTCATTAAAATTATATCTTTAAGAGCTCGAACTTTAAACCTATTAATAAGTTCTCCCATCAATCGATAACCTCATGTAGAGGCATGAAGCTACAATGACAATATAAAGTATTTATTTTAGAATTGTATATTTCAAAATGTTGAGATATTTTCATAGTTTGTCATTGAAATTAAGTTTAACTCTTTAAACCGACTTAAAATTGTACAAAATACATACTTATATTTTTTGATCCATCACTGTACTTTGTCCGCATGCGATGATAACTATAGTTGACCTACCAAATTATGATAAGGCTTCTAATGATTAACAATAAAAATTAAAAAAAAAAAAAAAAAAAAAGGTGATATTACCACCTGATGTGCGGACTCTACTATAAAATCGGTGGATTAGAGTGAAAAGGGTGAATAAACTAGAATAACCTATGAAATTATAATAAACAAATAAAATGATAAAGATAGGATAGAATGAAGTTCAATTAATTTTGTTCAACACTTATAAAAAAGATGGGTAGGAAGGATTAATTGCTTACAAAGGTGGGAGAGTGAGGCGCATAGTAAGGTCATGCCAGCTCACAAACCATGTGCTTCATCTTTTCTTTATGTATTTTTTTGTTGCTTTGTACAGCCAACAAAAAAAAAATTAATTACAGGGTTTTTAATTTTTTAGTTAATCAATTATATGACAACCAAGTTTTTGTCAAATAAAATAGAAATTTTGGCTGCGCTATTCATTTTTGTTTACACATGACATGGTAGATGGTCCTGGATAATGAGCATTTATTTCCCACATATCATTAGTACCAAGTAATTAATGATAGAAGCTTAAATAATGATGTATGTTAATGATGATTGGCAATTATGTCTCGTTTACAAGTAATGTTTTAGTGGAGCACTCTACTCGAGTGGCTTGTAGGCAGAAATCCAGTATAGGTGCCCATTAAAACTATTGGTCAAGTTCGGGTCTAGTTCACATTGGATTGGATCATTTAAGGTTTGGGACATGTTAAATTATTTTGTTTATAAAGATTAAATTCTAAATTCAGTCGTTTTAAATTAGACTCACTTAGTTTTAAACACCTCTATCTACTTGAAGGTAGAATGAAAAAGAGATTGCTGCATACTTACTTTCATTTACTGGCTAATGGGTAGATAACGATAGAAGAATAAGGTCTCTTCACCTTATCTATGCTGAAATGATAATATTTTGTATGAATTTAAATTATTTTTATTTCAACTGTAATTATTTTACTAATTAAAACTTATTTTTCTAATTTTCTATTATATTTATTCCTTTTATTTAAATAAATTTTTTAATAAGCTGAACTTATTTTATTGAACTGAACTTATTTTTATTAAGATGAAGAGATCGAATAAGGCCTAAATCACAAAGCATATCTAAATAGACTCGAGCAGGGTATTAAGACAATTCCACACACATTTTTTCATTATCACAATGCCAAAGTAACACGTATTTGTACCAAAAAAAGTCAATTGGTACCAAAAAAAACTATACATTAATCGACTCCTTTGTACTGTTTTAATAGCAGGATTGATTGGAGGTAATTATTCTTTGGAACAAGGGTGAATATAGGGATGATTTTGAGCATGTGCAGGGTGATCGATCGCACATGGCTCTCTAAGTGAAACAACTGTAAAAGAGCTCCGGGTTTTTGAATTTAGTAACATAATTTTCCTCAAAAAATGATTTAAGGATCCAAGTTAACAAAATTGGCCACTTTCGATATTATCATTTGTAGTCTCACCTCTAGGTGAATATATCGTATCCTATCACCAGAGGTGGCTAGTGGGCGGGGTTGGAAACAACACACCCTGATCTGCAAGGGTGGAATATAATAGCTAGTGGGCCACCTAGGCATTTTCTTAGCTACATGTTTGTGCTTCTAGAATAGCTACACCACTGCTAAACGCAGTGTTTTTTGTTTTTTTTTTTTTTTTGACAAAGAGCTATCAAATAAAAAACAAACAACATTAATAAACAAACTAGAACTGAAAAAACAACAATTGCTTATGCTGAGCGCAACCAACTAACCAGTGAGCCGAAGAAACCCAGGACCGAGGAACCTTACGAATTTGACACACCAAAAACAACTCAATAACCGCCCGCAATTCCAGAGTAAGCCACCAAATCGAAAATGTCCATTGGACCTGAATTCGAAAGCAAAGAAAGAAAGGCCGCACAATTAGAATGAATTCGAATCTTCAAGAATCATTTGCGAACCGCCACTTGAAGTCCCTATAAACAATCTTGTAGCTCAGACTGTAATGCCGACCTAGACAAAAAAGCCCTACTATACCTTCACTTGGAATCTCTGAAGAAAAAAGGTCACGGATTACCCAACCTGCCCCTACCCTACAAGTGGAGCAATCCCAAGCTCCATCGACGATAAAAGAAACTGTGGGGCATATGCTATGTAGTCTGGCAAGCTAAAGTCGTATCACCCAATCAAAAGTAATTCCTAAATCCTCTAACTAATGCAGATAGGGAAGTAGGGTCGAATCCACAGGGAAACTGGTCTTTCTATTCCTAATTAATTAAAGCAATCTAAATTATTAAGTAACCAATTTGTTATTAAAAAGTGGAACTAAACTACTAGGAGTAAAAGTGGGAAGGAATAAAAGTAGGAAGAATATCAAGGGATAAAAGACCTAGGGCATAGGTTCACCAATAAATAATATTCCAGGGTAAAGCATAACAATCAATCATCAATGCATCAATTAATCAGATCATAAAGGTCTCTCGCTACTTATTACAATCACAGAATTAATTTACCGGTATTAAATCTCATCTCTTTAATCTCGACTTAAGCATATATAAATTAACCTGCCTATTGAAACTAGACCTAAACATCAATTCTTATCTCTCGAATCTCGAATCAATATAGTCAAACTCATGCATAAAAGATCAGGCCTAATCTAGTCATAAAACATTAAATCAATCAACAGGAAATTAATCCACCATTGACAATTAACAACAATAAATCACACCCCTTCATATTATTTATGGATCCCCATAAACCCTAGAAAGAAAACTACTTAGACATAATTAAATATAAACTAAACAAAGCAATTAAAGGAGACATAGTGAAAGAAATAAAGTAAATAACCGAGATTAAAGTAGAAGAAATCATTACCAAAGTAATCGGAATTAAGGAGATGAATTAAGAACAAAATAGAGAACAAAGTTGTAGAAAAAGAAACTAATATAAAACTAAGTAGAGAGAGAAGGTCTAAGAGAAGAGATTCTAATCGAAAGCATTAAAATCGTATTTATACCAAAATAATTACTCCTAATTAAAACTAAGATAAATCGCCGAAATCAGCTCCTAAAAACCTCGCGCCCAGCCGGGCGCGAACTAATCTTCCTCGCCCGGCCGGGCGCGTCTTCGGGCGGGAGCCTACTTGGCCAGGCCCGTACACTTGGGCAAGCTTGTAATTCTCGATTGGGCTTCGATTCTTCGGCCCAATTCGGATTTCCTCTTTGGGTCTTGAATACTCGGTCCAAATGCCTCGAAATCTCAAATGCTAAGTCCTTAATCACCGGTTTGATGACTAACCGGTCCTGGGCTATAAAAACTGGCCATGCTCCAATGCTTGTAGTCACTTCATAATATCCCGGGAAAAAGCTCCAAAAGTGCAAATCCCTACAAAAGTCAACCAAAACTACGAAAACACTAGAAAACACCAATTAGTAATAAAAGTGGCACTAAAGAGCCAAAAACAATACCAATTATGACCAAGGGACGGGGGTAAAACACTATATAAAATAGACATATCATAGTACCCTCAAACACAACATGGATCACCTGAAAGCACAAGCGAACTAGGCGAGTAGGATCCCAATACGGATTTCTTCCAATCCTGGGACTGAACACAATGATTGAATCAATCCTGTGCCAAAACTTTAATCGTCCTGGGCAACCAAACTGTCTGTCTGAACCTTAACTGGTTTTGGGAAAGCCAAATAACCCAAAGGAGAGAAAATAAAGACATAATACCCTTCCAAAATTTGTTATAATAGAACCAAGAAAAGGTGTCATCTAGCCAATCCCCGAACTGATGAAACTTCTAAAGATCCCAACAAACCCCTAACGTTCCAGACCGCCATAAAGATCTGATAGCTAGACAGTCTCTGAAGGTTTGCGACACCTCCTCCCACTCCTGATGGAAAAAAGCACATACCGGGTCAACCGGACTACCCCGGGAATGTAGAAGGGATGCCATCGGAAGAGCATCATGTAAAAGTTTCCAGCCAAACTATCGAGGAAGAATAGGAAGTCTCCAAAACCTCCGCCACCAGCCCGGGGTCAACCGGCTTCCAAAATCAGGGGTGACAGGGAACTGGAAAAGAAAGGCATAAGCCGATTTCGTGGAGAAAACCCCATCCCTGGCAAACTTCCAATATAAAAAATCATCCATTAGCCTCCTTGGCCGATCCAACAAAAGAATTCT